GACTAGGTATATTCCGACCTACGGTAGTTCCAAAATTGGGTGCAGTCATTTAATAATATCACGTGATGGTGATTAGTTATAATTGTAGCTTGTATTCCGCATTGTGCAATGTAAATTAAACAGTTCAGAATTAAAATACCAGTTTAATGACCTTAAAACTTTTCAATGCTTACATCTACATGTAGCTATAATGCATGTACCATAGTATGTACTGATACATAATGCTAATTCAATTGCTATACCTTAGGTTACCTTAAGGAGACAATTATTCGTGTGTACTTATTTTAGCGATTTTCATGATACCGACATTTGGCTGGTATTTTATTTAGTGTTTTCAACATTTTAATAGTAACTATTAATAATTTAATCAAAAATTAAAGTTAGTGCAGACTTAAGTTAGCGATTTTTCAAAAATAGCTAAAATTTGCTAAATTAAATACCCGCTAAAAATTGTCTCCTTAAGGTAATTTTACATTCATATATTCTTATTCTTAATCTTAGGTTTGTATCAAAATTTTAAAAATCACAAGCACATAGTAGCAGTAAGTAAACACTTGTGTGGATCAGCAACTGGTAGGCATTAAATAGAAAAATTGTCAATATCATTATTGTTGTCTAGATTTAACTCTTAGATGTCTAACCAAATACCATTTGGAACGTTTAACAGTCATGCCTCCTTTAGCCACACCTCCTTTATCTGGCATTATAATAGCACTATGCTGTCATCAACGCTGTCAATGGGATAGTATATATGGAATTGAGCTATGGAAAGAACTGGGGTTCAATTCAATTGACTTCCACTTGATAACACTAATGAGTAGCTGGGCAGTATGTGGTCAGCGATCAGCAGATAAAGATACTAAAGGTTACATTCCTCACGCTAAAGAACCAATGGGATTAAAATGTAAGGAGCTAATTAATCTAATACGTGTACATGAACTACGCAAGAACGGTTTCCAAACTCATCTCTTGTATTATGTGGATAGGAGGACTTCATTAGAGAATGTGTTATTGATAGCTCTACCTCATTAATATTCATGCATGGGCGTGGCTCATGAATTTCTTAATTATATTCATTGATTGTAAACATGTTAAGGGTGGGGCTCGTGTTTGAAGCTAGTGAGAGATATAGTGGGAGAGAGTGAGAATGGCTGCAGCTGATAAAGCTTCAACAATATCCTTATCCAGTTCAGACCAGGGACCACTAGACACTTCAGTCAGTCACGAGGACCAGCACAGCAGCTTACCTCCTCTAGTCATCATAAGCACTAGAGTGAAGCAGTATGGGTCTCTTCTTAAGCTGACTAATCCT